GGAGGATTTTTATGATCTGTCTAAAACAATGTCTTCAGTTTCTTAAGGATTCTGTTGTTGGCATTTTCAGATGCATGTTGAAATGATATAATTTCAACCAAAATCTAAATATATAAGCCCTTTGGTATCAATGAGCCCTATGTGTCAAAATCAAATCACCAACACAAGTAATTACATGTAAGCTTATTCGAATTGATTAAACCGGTATGTTTTGCAAAAGGTGAAATTAAGGATAAAAAATCAGATAATTTTAAGACAGTTTTATCATAGATTTTTTTTTTTTAGTGCAGCGAACAATATAGTATTCTTATTTTAGGTTATAGAAGCATAAGAAACACACAGTGGCCAGGTCTGCTTTTATCTCCCTCACTAGAGAATGGGACCTGCCTGCTGTGGCCTCATTTGCTAACTGCATAGAAAAATGTTATTATACCAAACCTTGGGCATTTTAAGCTTGTTTGTAAAGCTCCAACATCAGGAAGTCCTGATCCCTAATTCTTAAACTCAAAGGTTTTATTTCCTATGTGTTTGGATCCTGAATCTTAATCTCATTTAAGACCATAGACATTATTTACTTGAAATTTACGTGTTCAATTGTTGCTATCATGGTAATATCGATCGGTAGTTGTAATTCAGTTGCAGAGGACTGTTTGAGAGTATTTGGTTGGCTTAATATTCCAAAAGTTGTGCATAAAAATTCTACTTGGACTAATGCAGTTTACCAGCTTTACTACCTATGATCTGTAGTTAAATATAAATTAAATTAATAATAATCCTGGCAGATTAAGTTTAAAGTAATCTTTTAATTTGATCATTATATTTCCTCTGACTTCCATCCTCAAAAAATGTAAAAAAAAAGGCTTTTTAAAATTGTTTTTGTATTATCTTTTGGAGAATCCTTTTTTTTCCAATTAGATCTACAAAAGGGGCATGCAATTATTTGGGTCCAACCATAGAGCTTAATGGCCAATATCATAAAGCTTAGAGAGAGTAGTGAGAGCATTTTGGTTAATCATGATGGAAATAATCTTAAAATGAAACCGCAATATGACATGATTTCCTAACATTGCAAAGCCGTGATTTATTGTCGTGGAACTCAGCTCCACTGACGATTCTGTTTGCCTGATCCAGACTTACTGTCCATAGATGTTTTTCATGCATAAGGGTCAGTTTATCTCTGAATCAGTTTTTATTGTGTTTTTCTAACTCAATCCTTTGTACCCTGGAAAAGAATGAGGCCGGTCAGTTCAGATGCAAACATCTAAGAGAGAGAGAGAGAGGGAATGTGAGCACAGCACACGACCTGGAACATGTGCTCCACTTCAGCATTTGTTCTGTGCTTCAAAGACCGTGCAGACTTGGTTAATGTGCAACTTTGAATAAACAGTTTGAGCACACATAGAGACCCTAGTCAAACTTGGAGTTTAGGGTAGAAAATGGAATAAAATGGATCATCATTAACTCATGCCATTAAATCATCTTTGTCTGCTTTACAGATGCAAGTAACAGAGGTATAAGAATAATCTAAAATGGCAAATTAAGTCCGCTTTTGTCATTTTTTATCTTTTATTTTTCTCTAAAATGTAACATCATTTTTCTCTGTTTACGTAGTGCTCACTTCAGTGCTTGTATCTTAGAAGTGCACAGAAAGCCGATATTTTCAGAGGCTTCATTAACTTGGAATAAAAGCACTGATTTATCAGTTCAAACCAGATCTGATTAACCTACAGGCTTGTTGCACCGACTCAAAATAAAAATAACATTAGGAGGGAGAGTCTCAAAACAAATGAGGTTAATGTTATTTCATCTCCATCCTGCTTCCTCCTATAGAGCTGCAGCACTGTCTTTGTTAAGAGTTAAAAACACATGCAGGCTAATGTGGGAAGTGGGACACATGGTTCCTGGTGTTTATTGGTGCTTTTGTTTCTTTTTTTAAGTGAAAGCTGTGTTAGCCCCCTAAAAGTCTTTAACTCTTTGTTTATTTTTACCTTTCCCTCAATTATAGCAACGAGCATAATCCTGAAATGAGCCAGATATGTCACATGTGTTGACATTTTTAAGGTGGTACAACTTAGATGGAGATATTTCTTATTTTAGGTGACAGCACTGTGAGGAACTGAGTCCCCCTTCAGGTTTTTTATATTTTCTTTTCCTAAACATTAGATGTTTCAGATCATGAAGTTTATTATAATGTCAGGCAAACGTAAAGTTGGAAAAAACACAAAAAGCAGTTTTTGATTGATTTCTTCTGTCAAGGGAATTTAGGTTGGAGACGTGATCTGTTGTTTTTGAGTTCTTAAAGCCTACTTCATGATGTCAGACAGGTTTAAATTAGCCCATTCAAACCTGCCTTTTAAATTGTATAAGATTGCCTTGGGTTGGCTAATCTGGATTTTATTTTCTCAGTTTAATCGAATGTTAAGATTACTTTGATGATCTGAAATCTGCCAAAAACAGCCTTATAAACTCTGAAAGGGCCAAATTGTTACCATGGAAACATTGTTTAAAGCGATGAGGTAAGCTGCTGAGACACAATAAGGACAGAAATCTTAGGTTAAATAATTTTTCACTGTAAAAGTTTCAATTTGTTTCCAAAACCATTGCCAGACATAAATTCTCATTTGTATTGATGATCACGTTGAACTGAGAATGTTTTCCCTCTGACTTCCTCTCTAAAAGTCCCCACCATGCAGCAATGAGGGCGACTGTAGAACAGGTCTGACTGGCCTGCAAGCAATGAAGCAGGGAGGCGTCCATCATCTTTTATCATTCTCCAACATTTCCCTGTTCTTGCAGAACAAACACAAGACGGGCCGGCCGTCACACTCTTTTTACACCTGTTGCAGACGGGTAACAAAGAAAAGCTGTCATAATAAAGCTCTCTTCATAACACACACAGAGCTGTGTCTCCCTCAGATTAGCTCAGATTTCTGTTTTAGATAAAGTTTCCTAAGGAACAAACAGTAGAAATACCTCAGAAAGAACCCAATGAATGTATTTTAGCTGGAATATCTTTATGGTTGGGACTTTTGCTCTATCTAATTGATTCACTGTGTTAGCATACCGGTTTTTAGTGTTTTTGCTCAAATTAACTGATGTCACTTGGTAAAAAAAAAAACAGCTGACAGAAGAGGGCGTGTGCATCTTCTGTCATGCGTTTGTGTGAACACATACTGTACACGCAATGACCCGAGGACTACAACAAAGGGAAGCCTCCCTGTATGCAGAGATGGCCTCCAGCCCTGAAATCCGCCAGAATATTTGTACTCAATCTGTGCTCAAATTGAAGTTTTCAGCTTTAAAACTGTAGCAATGCAATAATCTTCTTTATGATATCATTTTTAATCTACAGGGGTGGACAGATTACACTTAAATGACAGGAAGCTGTCAAACCAGTTTTGTAACATTCCTCCCCACAGAAACTTTGAAAGCTTGTTCCTCAGCGGCATCAATAAGGGGAGTCACCTCTGAGGCTGGACAGGTTTTTTTTTTTTTGGTTTAAGCTTTGTTTTCTTTTTCTTTTAGTGCCTTTCTTTACATCAATATTCACAGTTGGTATTAGACATTTACTATATGCCCATTATTAGCATGATGTCATTTTAATTTTTAGGCTCTGCTCAAAGTACAACATAAAATATAAAGTAGTCAATAGGAATTAATATTTACTACTAGATTACTTTGACTGTATATGTGTGAATTTATTGTTTAATTATAACTATTTTGGTTTCTCTAAAACAAACAGGTTTTAATAAATGCACATATGACCACAAATGTTTGGTTTTAACTTTTGAGAAATGTAGAAAAAATCAAGAAGTTTATCATGAGTGCAAGCCTGGGGTCTGCAACCTTTTTAATCCAAAAATACCTTTTACCTTGAGCCCAGCCTAAATAAAAATCTTTAAATATATGACATGACCTTTAAATAAAGAACAACTTCTTATTTTTGTTAAATATTTGCAATAAAAACAATTTCAATTTTAAACAACAGTTTATTTGAAATTTTTATAATAAGGACAAAACATAAGAGTTTTATAAACAAGAAGCAATGATTTTGGATTTTGTTCTATAGCATATTTTATGTAAAAAATTAACACAAGTTTTCAAGCTAATGACGAGAATTATAGATCTAAAAACATATTTGTTACTCTTTAATTTCATTTGAAGTAAAATTTAGCTTTAAAAAACCTCTAACGCTTGTAAGAATGGTATTTGTTCATTTAATATATTTAAACCAATTGTTTGCTCTTTTTTCTTTATTGCTTATATATCGTTTATAGTCACTATTAAGAGCCATTGCGAAGGCTCCAGAGCCGCAGGTTGCAGACCTCTGATCTAGTTTATTGAACCCCTGGAATCCCTTGCTCCATTGCACCTCCTTGGCTCTTCTGAATATATTTCTGATATTATATCAATATCTCCACATTTCTTTTGTCTAACCATAAATTGTCTCCATAAGCTGCAAATTTAAGTTTAGTCTTGATGTGTCATGTGTGCTGCTGCTTGCGGGGTGGAACAAGCTCTAGTCCATGTTGATTTTAAGCTCACTTCATCATCGGGGGCGAGAAACGCAAAAGTAACGCAATAGTTACTTTTACTAGTAACTAGTTACTTGTATTGTGGAGTAACTCAGTTAGTAACTCAGTTACTTTTTGGGAGAAGTAACTAGTAACTATAACTAATTACTTTTTCAAAGTAACGTGCTCAACATTGCAAGTTTATTAGTGGCTTCAGGATTTAGTGGCCGTCAGTCATCAGACAGTAATAAATGCTCAGACTTAGCAGCCTTCAGTCATGGTTGATCATGAAGTGCCAAGGACTTGCAGGAAGGCTCTGTCCTGCTGCGTCTTTGCAAAAGCCGAGAGAAAGTAAGCTTACAAATACCTTTTTGTTAAGAGGCATTTGAATAGCTCCTTCATGCATCATAGCTCTGATTTCTGTCTGAGAGTCACACTCTCCTGCTTCCTTTGAACTGAAGCACTTTTCCTCGTCGCCCTCTGCAG